ACAGAATCAAAGAATGTCCTAGGTTGTAAGGGACCTTAAAGATCATATAGTTCCAACCCCCCTGTCATATGCAGGAACACCTTCCACTAAACCAGGTTGCTCAGTGCCCCATCCAACCTGACCTTGAACACTTCCAGGGATGGAGAATCTGTAGCTTCTCTGGGCAACCTGTTCCAGTACCTCACCACCCTGACAGTGAAGAATTTCTTCCTAAGACCTAGTCTAAACCTACTCTTTTTCAGTTTGAGACCATATCCCTTTATCCCTTTATCACTACAAGCTCTTGTAAAAAGTCCCTCTCCATCTTTCTTGGAAGCTCACTTGAGGTACTGGAAGGCCACAATTATTTCACCTTTAACTTCTCTTCTCCAGTCTGAACAAGCCAAATTCTCCCAGCTGTTCCTCATAGGAGAGGTGCTCCATCCCTCTAATTATCTCAGTGGTCCACCACTGGACTTATTCCAGGGTCTACATCTTTCATTTTTTGGGGATCCCAGAATTCGGTGCAGCACTCCAGGTGGGGTCTCCAGAGCAGGGTAGAGGGAAAGAATCTCCTCCCTCGACTTGTTGCCCACACTGCTTTTGCTGCAGCAGCCCAGGACACAGTTGGCTTTCTGATCTGTGAGTGCACAGTGCTGGGTCATGTCCAGCGTCTCATCCATCAGAACCTCCAAGTCCTTCTTGTCAGGGCTGCTCTCAATCTGTTCATCCACCAGCCTGTACTGATTCCATGGGTTTCTCTGACATGGGTGCAGCACCTTGCACTTGGTCTTGTTAAACTTCATGAGAATCCCATGCAAGTATTTGCATGTGTATTATTTGCATTAAGCTTAGCCAAAGCGAGTAATGTATTTTTCATGAACACTTTGTCTTTATTATCATCCTTACAAGAAAATTTCTGCCATTTTGAGACCATTTGCATTACCTCATTACTGACTTTAGTAGCGAAAATGAGGAAAAAAGTAGGTAAACTCAGGTATTTTATTCTGGGGTTTGGATATGAGATTTAGGTGAGTTATCTGCTGTTCAAATCAGAAGTGAGATAATCTAGATAACATCTTGAGCATTCAACTGTACTCCTTTCATAATATTTACATATGTGACTGGGACAAAATGATCCTTAGTAAGATGGGTAAATTTCTTCTCCACCAATAGTCAGTGGATTGATACGATGGAGAGGTTATTTAATACAAATTTTTACATTGTGTTTAAAATAACACAAGGAAAATCTATTTTCTTGTATTGCCCTCAGCACTGTCATAATTTTAGAGCTTTGCAATAAGGGTTTGAGTTTTTACCTTTTCAAGGTGGGGGTTGTTTTATCACTGTAGGCAGACAAAAATGGTAACACGCATCTCTGAACATGCTGTGTCTCAATTTCTGGATCGTCTTTCCAGCCCTAGGTGTGTGTCCCCTGCTGTTCAGAGGTTGTTGCACCTTTTGGAAAGCAGAAGAGGAATTTTACTCCTGTAGCTCTTCTGTCAGCTCATCTTCTAGCTGAATTAGATTTAACTGTTGAATAAAATGGATCTCCTGTTGCTACAGACTGTGACCTTTGTTCTGTGCAGAGCCACAGATTTATTTTACTGTCCTTGTTTAGGGAGCTAAAGCTTTGGGTAGAGAGATGTAGAGGCACCTTCTAGCAGGTGCATGTGAACCACCTCAATAAGCTCAGTGAGCTGTCCAAAAATTGAGCTCTTTCATTTTTTATCAACTTCAGCATGTTAGTGTCTTAAGGCTGAGAATGAAGCTGCAGCTGAGGAACGCACTACAGACAATCTTCAGACAGGTTGAGGTAAGCTTTACTTTACCAGGGTGTGGAGGTGACATATCTCTGCCAGTACATCCAACACAGTAATACTAAACTGAAGATTATATCACTCTCAAAAGAAAAGGTTCTATGTGCACCCTAGAACTAAAACTACAACCAATAGGAAATAAGCTCCTTAGCAATGACAGAAACAGCCAACCAACACTTGTTTTCAGGTATGAAAGAAGTGGCAACAGAATTTATATGTCATGTGTGCAACTGGCATGCTCATTTATTACTAAAAATTCTATTTTAACACTATTTACATTCTACTATAGCTCACATATGCCAAAGAGACCGAAGAGATTATTCTGAGAGGCTCTAAACAAAGGTGATTAAGACGTACAGCATCTCCACTGTTCCTTAACTTCACCAGTGACAACAACACTCCTCATAACCTGGTGATTATTTTGGCTTAACCATGATATTTGGTGTTGACCTTCTCTCCAAAGGCAACGGAGATAAATGAAAAAGATCATAACACTTGCTAAGAGGAAACAACTATGTCACGTGTGAATTGTTTATGAATCTATCGGTTTCTCAGGTAATATCAGAAACAGGAATCCAATTAATGGCCTCTCAACAAGCAGAGTTCTTTGGGATTGTTCCCATGACATTTAAGAGAAATGCAACTCTTGAACTGGTATTCTTGAATCTGTTGAGCACTATCAACAGATTTCTTTTTTTAAGCTTGACGATGACCACACTTTTAACCTTGACTCTTGGCAGCACAAGTAGCAGGCTGCTCAGACATGCTACTATCCTGAGTCCCTTGCAGTCTTGCAGTGCCTTGTAATGACACTGCTGTGTGGCATTGGGGTAGTAGGAATGGAGATGGAAGGTGAGCAAATCTGTACAACTGTAGGTGGAATAAACAACTTTTATCACACTATTCCCGCTTTTATCACTAAAGACACTGCTCCCATTGCAGTGTCCTCTGCCTTTTAAAAAGTTTGTCAGGTACAGATCATGCACGTATTGATATGCTCTGGTAAATAGACCATCATACCATCCAACTGTTAGGGGCCAGTTTTGTATGGAAATAAAATAAGTCTTAATGAATAAAGATATCTACTTGGAGGAACATGACTTATCCTGTCAAAACTATCTTGGAAAGTTTTTGTAAAAAAAAGTTAAGGAATTTGTAATAGTTATGCCAGTATAAATTCTACCATGGAAAACTGCTTCCCATTAGCTTTTCATGCTGACTATAAGTGTCTTATACCAGTGTAGAATATCCATCTTCCTAGACAAAAATATCTGTATAACAAAAAGTGTTTTCTTACTAAATATAATGATAATCCATTTGAAGGTAATTTGTATTGTTTTTTCATCATTGGATTAGCTGAAGTAGTGGTCTTTAAGTTAAGACTTATTTATTTGAATAAATGGTATGAAGAAAGGGTCAATACATTATGCAATGATTTTGCAAAGTTAATGTTTGGTTTCACTTCAATTTGAAGCATCACCTTCTCACCTCTGACTAAATTTGTAATGAAAAAAGACCCTGGCAGACCAAACTTCCAGCCTGCCCCAGACCTAGAATTTCAGGATAAGAACCTGAACTCCAAACATGGAAATTTTAAAATGTCTATGCCCATGATTTCTGACTAAATACATCAGGGAAGTGGTAGTCCAAAGACATGACATTGTTTTCAGGTTAACTGTAGAAGACCTGAGTGTAACAACATGGGAGTTGTATCTTTGCTGTCCATCTGGAAGATTACTAAAAATGAGTTATACAATTTTGAAAAAAACAAACATTAAAAATGGATACCCACAACACCAGTGCTACCCTTAGCCAGAACAATGCCTAATGACAACTAGAGCTTCTATGATACCAAAACATCACCATGTAGCATTTCATATACCATGAATTAAAGTTCTTTAGTGAAAACATTGTCAGCAAATTCCTTAATATCTTTGTCTCCAAGTCACTAATGCCCTCAAAGAAAAAAAAAAAAAAAAGAGAGAAAGACAGTTTGATCATTTATTGATTTCAATGCAGAACTTATCTGGATATGAAAGAGAAATAAAACATCAAGACATGGGTTCTGCAAGTGAACTATTAAACTAGACTGAAATTTAAAAGATGGCAATTCAACAAATTAAAATCTGAGATTGTTAAATCTGCCACCTGATTTTGAAATCAAATTATTTTGGCTTAAAGAAAAAAAAAACACGAGAGGGATTAAAATAAACCAAACAGGTGGAGTTGAAGCAAGAGAGACATTTTAGCAGAACCATTTTCAAATCCATCTGCATTTACCCAGATGGAACCTGAAAACCTTTTGAGGACCATTAATTGTTACCCTACTGCTCAAGTTTCCCTGTGTCATCCAGCAGAGATTTTTAACCTGAACAAGTATAGGATAATGAGTGCTTATATGACACAAAGGAACTACAGTGCACACAAAAAGTAATGATTCTGTCAGTTACAAAAAAAGTATTTAGTACCATAGGGTGATTTTTCCAGTGTTGCAGTCGACTGACTTGAATATCTGTTGTCTCCAAGGCTGAGTGAATCACCTTTTAAATATATATAAAGATCTCCTGTGAAACCACTTTGTCAGTAGCTCAGCTGCACAAGGTAGAGATAATCTATATCAAAAATTCCTGACAGGGACTGTGCTTCCTTAGCGGGTCTTTGAAACCTTCCCACTCAATGACCTGAGGCTCCAATGAGTCACTGTAAAAAAGTCAAGCTGCTGTATGTAGGTAATGAATGCACAGATTCATACTGCTGCTATTGCAACTATGAAAAAGAATGAACACTTCTGAAAATTAAAATCTGTGAAGTTTATATTTGGAAAAAGAAATGTAACAAAATCTCACTGATTTCACAGTGTGCATTTCTACTGTCAGATGGGTTCAGTGCCTCTTTCACTCCATGGCACCGATCTCCAAGTCATCTGCGCTGCGTATATGTCGCAAACCAAGTTCTCTTCTTAGTAAAAAGAGTCAGAAGACATTTTTTCTCGGGAAGCTGCATTGTACAAGCAATATGGATGTGCTAAGCCTAGCCTGCTGCATAAAGCTCCACATTTGAGTGGTACAGACGTGTGCTTGCTTCTCTGGAGCAACAAAGACATGATAAGTGTTCTCATGTTGCAACAGAGCATTAAGAAAAAGTTTTTATTCTTTCCACTCTAGTCAGTCTTTATGGAATCATTTCATTACAACAGATATATGGAATGGTTCCTTTTACCAGGGCCCACCATGCAGCTTTGTGAAGACACAACTGGCCAGATAGGGGAAAGGGTAAAATTAGGTTAGACCCTGTTGCCTTCCTTTTTTTTTCTCTTTTCTCAATATAAAACCTTTCCAGCTTAGACTGTAGACTAAGTTTAGCCTTAGGTGCCAAATAGCACCTGGCATTCATTGCAATGCATATGCCATTACACCGATTCAGCTTGCTGCACAATCTACAGTATAGTTCTTCGTTGCAAAAATCACTAGAACCAGTAGAAAGTTGTATTATAAATTACTTCTTTCACTCCAGTGTTTTTTATAGGTTTATGTAAGGAGGACAAAGTGGCAGATGAATTTCTTAAAATTCAACCAGTGGGCAAATTGCAGGACTGCGTGAGAATAGAATGAGTTCTCTACCTCAGTAAATTAGTTTAAGGTCATATTTACCTTACCCAATAACACCTACTAAAAGGTCAGGAGCTTAGTCTTCCTGAATTTTTCCTTTAGTTAGCCTAGAAAAATAAACACTCCAGGGAATGATTCACCCCCTGTGATTCCCCATAACAGACTAGTTTGAGGATCACCTGTTTGAATTCAGCAATTGTGTAGAGAGGACATGGTCCACAAAGCAGTAGCATTGGTGCCTGGAGGTGTTTTTGGCATCTTACAAGTGTTTTAATTGACTTCTTTTCCTAGGAGTAAGGTTGAGGGCATGCATCCATGCTGCTCCTTCACACTATTTTTGAGCAGATGCCCACATCCAGATCTAACTGTGCTGAAAGCCATTGCTGTTCCCCCCTGCCTATCTCCTGCAAATGCACAACTTGCTGAGAGTTGTGCAAAGTCACCCCAGAAGCATGTGAAACAAAACCCATGTTCCTTGTGTGCCACTTCTATTGTCTCATTAATACTCCATATGGTCTCTCAAAAAGGGAACAAGAAATCATGAGAGAGATGCCTTTTTATTAAGACTCCATGAAACTTCAGAAATGGTCCCATCTTCTAATAAAAATCATTATTGTTTGTATACCTTTAGATGGGTACACGTACACATGCACAAATGTAAATCCCCAGTCATACCTTTAAAATGCACAAATAAAAGGATTTGCAATTAATTACTTGTCCATCTGGTCTCTGTGGGTTGTTAGCAGAGTAGTTAGTTTTACAGTTGCAAACTCAAGAGCTCAAATTCAAATCCAGTTTGCAGGCTGAGGATTGGACTCCAGTGTGCAGTCATTTCCTGCTCTCAGCCTGAGGGCTATACTCTACCTCCAGGGCTATTTTTGAAGTGTAACTCTCCAGTCTTGGGGTGCAGTTTTTCTACCTTTTTTCCTCCAGCCATGAGCATAGAATTTGTTATTCTTTTGCATCTGTTTAGTATAAAACCTGCATATAACACAAAAGAACATATAGCTTATGTATTACCATATTTTGTGACAGAATTTGTACTCAATCAGCTGAAACAAAAAGCTTATTCTAGAGTCCTGTATATATATAGGGTATATATGGCACACATCATTTATTAGTAGGAGAACTGACCACGTAGGACAAAGACTGCTTTTGTCATCTGTAACATTTGACAGCCCAGGAATTTTTACTAAAAATGGATGAGAATTGTATTAATAACTTGGGATTTTTCCTAATAAATTAGACTATGTGGTCATATGTTTTGACACATAGATTTTCTTCTGTTAGATAGTTAAAAATATCTCTGACAAATTTTGGTGAAAACCATAACAAGTGCTATCAAAAGACAACAAAGCTTCTTCCTATTGCCTATATTCCCCGTAGCAGTTGGTCCTCTCTGTGGTCTAGCTGAAATGGGTTCTAAAACCTGAAAAATATATCAAACTAATTCATAACCAAGGTTTTACTGATATTCTAACCATTACAACAAGTAAGGAAACAAACAGATTAATCTGAGGGAAGACATTCCTTTAAGATTCACAATTTCCTAGGAGTTTTAGATACAGTTCATAATTCCCTCCCACTGTTTTATAAATTGACAGATCAGACTGTGACCCAACTGCTGTTTAATAAAAAGTTGAAGTTATTTCCTCACTGTTCTGTAATCAGCTTCTGAAGTTCTGGTCAAAAAGGACAAGTGGTGAAATGTCTAAACCCATACCCTTGCAAACTGCTTAAACTCGTGTTTATAATCCCACTGACATTTCTATGCCAGATTATCATATCTGTTGAGGAATATTGATATGCATGAACACAGAAGTTTAAATTCTAGGAAGACAGTCCTGGGGAAGGGAGAACAGACAAGGGTTGTTTGTTTGTGTGTTTTGTCCTGTGCAATCCAAGCAGGTCTACTTGTTTTATTCTGAGATCAGTTACCTCTCTTCTTCTAGACTTGTATTTTTGTTTAATTTGATCAAAAGTGTTTTGCCAAACAATGAGGTTTAATGTTGCCTTCAATGCTGCTATTCACTTGAGATCAGGATAAAACATTTCAGTGCTTTCCTTACATTTTGCAATCCTTATATGACATGTATTTTTCCTGTTAATCCTTTTGGAATTACTTCTATGTCATCTTTTTCAAAAGTATTACATAATATAAAAATGCAATTCAGACTGAAAATATGGCCTTGAAACATCTTGTCCCAGCAATACACAATCTATTGTGTTAATAGATCTATTCTCTGTGTAAAATGTTGTCTTCAATTATTTCAGTTTGCTTTTCAGCTTAGAAAGGTGAACATTTTCTTTCTTGAGAAGGCAAGTAGATACTTCAGCTCTGCAACTGACTCAGCATGCTTTAGCCAAATGATATAGAGTGTGAATTTTAAAAGAAAAAAAAAAATTGTCTTTTTTGTCTTCAATAATAAGTATAAAAGTGATCCCTGTGTGTTTGTGGGTGGCACAGGGAGTCACTTCTAGCAGTAAAATTAGAGATCTGTAGTCTCTTTTAGATATTCTTGAGGCACAGAAATAAATTAACATTTCTCTGACCAACATACAGCCCCATTAATCATGGAAGGCAGCAGAAATGAGAAGCATAGAACAATGATCTGGTATTAACTCTAACTCAAAAAACTTCTGCCCTTTCAGAGAGTGAAGAGCATTCCAATTTTGCATAATTTAACTCTCCAGCACTTTTAGTGACCATTGTGTTTTTTTCATTTCAGTTCTTTTACTTATTCTATACTCTTCAGAAAAATATGTCCATTGACTTTGACTTAAAGATTCAAATTTTAGAAATATGGATAACTTCTGAAGTTCTTTTGAGTTTTCCTACAACCAGAGTGCATGTTGTAGTCTTCTTTAATGACTTTAGATTTCCATCTCATTCACTACCTGACTGAGCCCTGCCTGTTTCTCACCTGCCCTGGATTTTCTTTTCTCCATACTGAAGTAGAAAGTGAACATACCCTTTCTGATTTTTGTTTTTAATATTCTTGTTTTTTACTCAGATTTATTCCATGTGATTCCACTTCCAAAACTTAAAAGGAAGACCTGTGTTAAGTTCTAGCCATCTAAAGTTCCCTTCACAGTCAGAAGGAGTAAGACAGAGCGGGAGCTTCTCAAAAACTGATTTTATATGATTGTACAGACTAAGAAAACCTTTTACAGAAAGCAAGCATCTGCACTCCATTTAGACTCTGATTATTTGCCAAAATTTAGACTGATTCATTACTAAGAACTGAACTCCATCCATTAGCTTTCAGGTGCTTTATGACTGTTGCTTTCATTGCATTGACTTGCACAGCTCTGTCTGAATTTAAATCTATGTATTTTCCATATTAATTTAAATTTACAGTACATTTATCTCACTTTGTACCACTGTTGATTTTTGGTAGGAAGGGTTTACCATTATCTTTTTTGTCTAAGCTGTGCTTCCCTTGTTGACACTTTAAAACTTACATGCTGAGATAATTTACCAAAGTAGTTCCTGGGATTTTCCATCTCCAGCAAACTACCATTGTGCTCTTAATTGTGAACTGCTCCAGATGTCTTCATGCCTCAAGTATCCATCCTTGCAGTGCTTCGATCTTCCATCACCTAGAATATGTGCAAACACTATGGCTCAGGAACTTTAGCAGACAATTTATTTGGCCTGGAAAAAATTACTTTGTCAATGGTGAGTTCTTAATCTTTTAGGAACCTCTTTTCAAGTGCTTTACCCCGCATGGTCTCATAGTTTAGTCAGATGTTAAGGACTGACTTAAATCCAAACTGAACGATAGCTTTGTACAGCTTGAAATTGTACAAATTCTTCCACAATTCTTGCAAACCTTTTTATCTGAGGCTGTCTAACAATTGTTCACATGGTTCATTTTTATGTGAAGTGTGAAGTACTCCTTGAATTTTTTACTTCACTTTCAGAGTTGGCCTGAGTTTGAGTTACTGAAAACCATTTAAACATCAACTAGTTCAAAACCACCTACTGTCAGAAACCAGGCTACCTTCTGTCTTCCCTTTTAGCACCTGCCCGTTGCTTGTAGTTCCTTTTAAACTTCCTCCAGTTGTCCTCCACATTTCCCAAGGGGTTTAACTCCGCTGGGGTTGAACAATTCCTTTCTTCCATTCAGGACACAGCTCAGTTGATTTTATTCCTTTTCCAGTATTTGCCTCAGCAGCTGCAGAGAATGGGAGATGGACAGAGATCAACTCCTCTTGTTGAGGGCACTTCTTAAATGGCAAAAAAAATAAGTTGTCCTTGCTTCACTACCGGTCATTTTCTTCCAATTATCACAGACAAAAGCAACTTAAAGGAGGAGTTTCCCAAAGAGTGAAGGGGTAGCAAGAGACAGGACATAAAGAAAATGGGATGAGAATCCAAAACTGGTGTGGCCTACTGAGAAATGTCAGACTTGTTACAAAGAGAATCAAATATGGTTGTTGATGACCCTAAATAACAAACACTACCTTCTCCCTTGTGATCTTCCTCTTGTGTCTTCCTTGCTGCCTGGGTAATAAATATCATTTGGGGCAGAGGAGGGCAGTGGCATCTAAAGGGATCTGGCAACTTGAGATGGAAGTGGTGTTGTTCTACTGAGCTTTGTTCCGTCATTCTACAAGGTGAGCAGCAGAGGAAGTGGACATATCTCAGAAAGAAGAAACGGTGTCATTTTTAGCAAAAGCATAGAAAAATTCTGGGATGCTGTTCTCAGCTTCACCTTTCCTTTCTTTTGAGAGTTCAGAAATAGCTTCATTATCTATATAAAAGCAACTCCACTCAACTGAATCATTTTCTGTTCTTAACATTTGGTTTTGTGCGATATTGGCATAGAACCAAAATATTTTGAAGTTTTTCAAGGAGGAAAAAAACCCAGACTGAACAAGCGGCAAATAGAAATGGAATAGAACCAACAGTGCAACTAACTGGCCACTTAATAAGGATATGAACTCTCCTTTCCTCTGTTTCTCTGTCTATAAATAACTAAACTTTCTGTGCCTTAGAAAGGCATAGACTAGTTATTTATGGCCTAATGACAAAGGGACATGGCTAGGCTGCAAGACACTTATATAAAAGCCCCTTTCCTTAATTATATAAATCAGAGCCTTGGTCTGTCCATAAGACCCAACTAAATCTTGTAGATATTAGCATATGGTTGTCCTGTGATTAAGGTCACACTATTTGTGTCCCCAAAAATCCTTCCCTGATGCCAAAAAAATCTACGTGCATTACCTAGAAGATACTAGAATACTTTGAAAATATTTTTTTTTCCTAGAAGTTTTAACAGCAAGACTCTTCATTAAAAAATTTGTAACCAGTTTTGGAAAAAGCTTTATGTCAAATTTTATGTCAAGGTAACTGATGAGAATGGACAAGTGTTTCATGAGAGGAACATTTTTGTAACATATATATTTTCTTCAAATGTAATACAAGTTAATAATTTTCAACACAAAGAGAAAACTAAAAATGTTTTAGTAAAATGGGGGGGTTAATTGAGATTTATGAAAAAAGTATTTGTAAATTTTCACTCAGAAATATTTCTTCAAATTTATTAATAAGGTCTCCAACTATTATTCTATTTACAATGTATAAAGGACTTGTATCTGAGAGTTTGCTAGTTTTTCTCATTGATGGCAATAGAATTACTTCAGTGTTTTCATTGTGTGCCAATGTGTTAGGATAGAAATTGGTAGGTATTGGTAAAATGGAGTTATGCAGGGATAATCAAGATTCCATAAATGGATGAAACTTGTTTCCATACAAAACAGCTTTTAAAAGGCAATGGGAAAGAAGATTAGATGTGCTTGCAAGGAATTAGAACATAAAATCACCACGGAGAATCCAGTGCTTGCTTTTCATTACAGTGCAAGGCTGAGATCTATGCAAACACCTAACCAGCATACTTTGGATTCCAGGGCATCACAGTACCCTGCTGTTGTTTTGATGGGAAAGAAGGACTGATGAAACAAACTGGGCATTTCAGTCTCTGCTCTATCACAACTTAAAACATAAGATGCTGTGAGTGTTGTTCTGTTGTACACTGATCAATGTGATTGCACCTTTGAAACTGGCTGTACATCACGTAGCAAAGATATCTTTGATTAATCCCCTCCTGGTTAGTTTAAGTGATAGAAAGCCCCCTGAGGACTTACAGTTACTCTCCTTCTTTGCAGAGATCAGAGACAAATAGTTTCTTCCTGTGTTATTCTTGTCTTGTGTAAAGAGGATTTGTACAAGGAAGCCCCTGGTGTAAACAGTATTGAAAAATTTTTCTAAAGGATTAAAGCTTCTCTAACAATCTGACCCAGGGAGTATGTCTTCTAGCAACCTACACTCATGTAGTGAAGTTTGGGCTTCAAGTAATGAGGCACCAGACATAATGTTTTGAGAAGATGTGAGAGACAGAACGCTCACCCTATTCTATTTATTACAATAAATAATAGTGACCATCCTTCCTGCCTAAAGGGAGGCAATTTTGCCCAATAAATTATACACGCAAGAGCACATTAGTGTAGCATCAATTTTTGCCTCTTTCAATGCCTCGAGAAAAAAAGTAGGTTAGAACTAAGGAAGTAGTGTGATGATGAAATCCTATAACTCCTCAGAATTCTCAGACTTCTCCTCTACTGTTACTTTTAGGCTGAAAAGGACACTGCTTTCCCCAAATTAGAATGTTGTCTGATGTCATTTCTAATTCAATAAAGAACAATACCTTTATGACTCAAAAAATCTCTACAGTTAACTGACCTTTCAACACCTTTTTTCAATATGAATTTGTCATCTCTTTAGACATTGACAAAAAGATCGACTTTTGCAACTCAAGTAGGACTTTAGTCAAGAGTTAATGTTTAGAGCATCCTTCAAATTCATTGGCTTTCTTTTACCAAATATACATTTATTAGTTTTTCTGTTAGACAATACCTTAAGGAAAAGGTAGATCCATTTCATGGATAGAATTGTTGTATAAACATCCTGCCCATCATTTATTTTTGGAAATATAGAAGCCAGTGGAGCCATAGAACTATAAGGTCACATTTGCTTAGAGCAAAAAATTTGTCAAAGATTTCAGTCTGCTTATAGTTATTTTCTTACAGCAGGGAGGGTACAGAGGAAAGAGAAATATAGACTGAATGCCAAAACAACACTTGAAAGAATTCTTGTTGTTCCACAGAACAACTCAGAGAGGAGAGATAAAAGGAGAAATAAAACAGTTGAGGCTTCTCTGTATAAATTGTGACTCTGGCAAAAACTACTGTTTGCACACATATATATGAACACTGTGATCAAATTAAAATGGGATGGACAAACTCAGGTATTTTGTTTTTTTTAGAGCTTCCTAAATCTTGAAAATCTTGACTGAGCAATTTAAATGTTCCTTATTAGTCTATATTTGTTGATGTATGAATGAGAAGATTCTTCTTACTTTTAATGAAAAAAAATCTATAAGTGAAATATTGAAGATTATATGAATCAAAATATGATATGAATAAAAAAATCTTCTCAATGGACTACCTCTTTAGTTTGTTTTAGTCTCAAAATTCTGGCAAGAAACACAGATATTTAGGTATACATCTGTCCCGGCTCCTGGGAGTGTAGCCTGGGTCACAGATCACTTGTGCCTCTCCTGGTATCATTCACTTCCCATCTTTGTATACTGGATCTGTTACACTCACCCATTCCAACTTCTCTTTCCCTTGCATAGTCTCACCTCTCCCCACCCACTACCTCAGTCCATTGCTCAGGTGACATCACCTCTCACACGGATATCCTATTTGAATGCAATGGAGCAAACTGATAAGCTCTTAAAGCTGGCACTGAATTAATTCCACCTTTCTATCCTTCCCATTTAGCATACTGCAGTCTAATGTCTTGCCAGATCACAGGCTGAATCTGCCTCAGGGCAGTCCTAATTGCAGTCTGCCCATTGATCTTTTGAGTTTCCAGCACTCCCACTCTTTATCCAGGTTTTGCAGCCTCATCTCACCATGGAGCAGCTGTTCTTTCACAATTCTTTCCCCAGCCCATTCACATCTCTTCTTCTCCATGCTGACTGCATTGTCTCCATGTTCTTTCTCTGCCTTACTTTGCTGGCTGGGTGCAAGAGTAAGTGACTTGATGCTGACCTGGGCTGCCGGGCAAGAGAGTCTCCCAGGTTCCTGCCCAGACATCAGCAGCAAGTTTAGTCCACCAGAGTGAATCAGAGGTGGCAGCAGTATATTTATATGGAGAAATGTAAAAAACCCAAGTTTTTTAGGAGATGTAGTGGTGAAACCAAGTAAACTAGGCAGGATTTTCAGTTAATAAAAATCAGCAAAGTTCCATTATTTTATATTTGCAAACCTCCCATCCTGTGTACGAAATGAGAACATTGCCAGCACGGCCCTCATTTATTCAGGACACTTAAGCATATATTAATCATCTATATTTGTTCAGCAAAGTATTCAGCAGATGTTTTTACTTTAATTCTCACAGAGGTCAGCATATAAGAGCATTTTTAAATGCTTACCATAATAGAATTAGGAGGAAACATCTAGGCCTAAGAAGAAGAGCAGTCTGCTGCACAAGAAGTAAAAGAAATCTGAAGAGATAAAAATATGAAATTCATTCTTCTTTTACACAACACCAGTATATCAGACACACCATATAACTTTGTTGTGGTTCTGTAAATTTGGTACCTTCCATAAATTTATTTTATTGGTTAGATTTCTTGGTCAGATGAAATGGTCCATATGCAGATTTCAAATACTTTTCCCATCTGTACTTTCCCTTTTTCTTTTCTTTTTTTTTTTTTTTTTTGTGGTGGTTGTTTTTGTTGTTGTTGTTGCCCTTAATCTATGACCAAGAGAAAACCAAGAATAGAGAAGCACTCAGGAAAGCAACCACAGATTCTCCAGTTACTGCTGAAATAACTCCCTGAAGAAGATGTGTTGTTTCCTTTCTATTTTTAGTTTAAAATACTCAAAAGCACATTAGATGAGTGACCTCTCTTGTCCTATCCTTGTCCTCAAATATTAATCAGTTTATGCTCTGTGACTGACTCCTGCTGACTAGTACCTCTGAAGTTAATCATGTCACTAGGGATATTTGTGTAAGCTTAGGTTCTATGCAGTAACACTAATAATAAAAGGAGTTGTGAGGTTATTTGGCTATAGAAGTGCATTGTTTCACGAGGTTACAAAAAACCAAGAAATTTTCAGATATCACTAGTGAGAGGAACAAGGCAAATATGAACTGTCTTCCTGTTGCTCACCAGTTCATTAACACCTCAATTTGTCTTTCTTTACTCTTCTATCCCTCACCTGTGGCTATGTCCTACAGCAATGGTATTAGTCCTTATTGGGGGACAAGGTGTACAGCTTTAGTGTAAATTTCTGCAGAAAAACTTGATACAAGGAAAAAGGTATGTTAGAGGAGGAGTATACCTCCTTTCTTTTATTTATCCTTTGGTAATGCCATCACAGCACTATGGGTATATTCTCTATCTTACTCTGAAGTGAAATTATGCCCTGAACAGCTCCTAAAGATGCAGCTTTGTACATGGATTTTGCTTTGGAACAGATAAGTTTGGCTTTTAAAATATTGGTTTCCATTGCTCTGACCCTGAAAGGCAGAATGAGGTTAACTTTTGGCCAAAAGTTACAATTTGGGCCATAGAAGCCAAGGAAGTTCTTTCAAAGTCAGTACTGGTCATTCTAGCAGGAAATCAGGGTGTTTGTCCCTATTCTATGGTTCTGAAGGGATCTTCAGTTAGGACAGTGGTACAAATACAGATGAACTGAGAACAGTTTGAAACTTTACCTACAACACTCACTACATTCTTTTCACTTTATGTTTACAGCACGAAGCGGAAAAACAAAACTACTAGAAAGCAAAAGTATTAACCACTGGTATGAAAGGGGGAATGGCATAAAATTTTACCAGTGCCTAGTGGATTTAAATTAGAAAGTATGATGTTCACAGCTGAGTAAAGAGGGTAAGATTGACTAATGTACAAGCTGAAATTATGTCTGAAATTAATGGATGATTCCATCATATTTCAGATAGGCCAGGCCAAGATAGGCCAAGAGAGGATAGGATGGATAATATAGGATAGAGTAGCATGGGATAGGATAGGATAGGATAGGATAGGAT